TATGTCTCTCCAAATTGCCCTCCAAAAGTATTTGCTATTCTTCAGTGACTACGGAAGGAAATTTACATGAGTACTTTAAACTGCATGTACAACTTTATAATGTATTGGTGAAGTGAGATGAATTCTACCCAGGTGTTTAAATCTCCATAACATTTTAAGGGAACTTCACTGGCTGCAAAAACTGTTTAAGGGACCAGGTACTAAGACAGTAGAGTAAGCCCAGAATGGAGTAATAAAAAGGCAAACGTGAGTTTTTCTGTAGAGAGTGAGGCTATGGGAAACCTAAAACTTTACAAAATTCTAATAAGAAACAGAAAAACATAAGTAATAAAGCCATATTAAGGAGGGGATATAAAACTAGACAAGAATAACATATATACAGTGTGTTCTGTAAAATAAAACCAAAGCAAGAAAGAAAAATAAATAGTGTTGACCACAGACAAGGTCAAAGGAGACCTTAAACAATGCCAAAGACTGATCTTCTACAAAACTGTCATGAAAAAAGTTTTTGGAAGATAATTGACACAAATTCAACTTGTCCCTCTCCAACACCTGAAAACACACTCTCAAGACTTCTAAAGGATCTCAGATACAACAAGGCTGACATACAGCAGTGGTAAATAATTCGTCACCTAAATAAACTTTGGAGTGAAAGAAAGGAAAGTGGCAAATGTGACTAATGTTACAAAAGGGATTCAGGAGAGAGCATTCAGGAAATGAGAAACTAATCAGTTTGACTTCACATTTAGGCAATTTGATAGAAATGTATTAATACTACAATTAGTAAATATATAGAAAATATGATGTGAAAAGTTAATGCAGTTGCTGTAAGGGAAAGTCATGCTTCAAATGCTGTGAAGAGTGATGAATTTCTAAAAAAGAAAGTTGTCACTTTATCATGAAAGGCAAAAGAAATCCAAGAAATCTTCTCAGTTTCTTTTTAACTTTGGAGCAATAGTTTACGGAGAGAGTGGAGAAGACAGGCATAAAAGAGAAGGAAGTCAGTATTGTAGCTGAGAGATTTCTTGTGCCTAAGATCAATATCATCCGCATAACTGATGTACCAATCACCAAAGAAAAGGACCTCACAGGATGATGAGCAAGATCAATGACATACCTAGAGATTAAGTAGTGTGTTAGGGTCAGTCTGAATTGCTGCAGAGGATCAAGTTTAATGCACAGAGAGATGGTGACTATTAGCGACAGTACGAACCCTTTTCACTCGAGCTATCATGGTAGACAGACGAGGGGATGAGACGTGGCAGAGGATGAGAGATGTATTGCAAATGAACAGAGCTGTAAAAATACAAAGAATTATTCTGTTCTTAAACCAGCTGAATGGTGTATTGAAAAAACATATTCTACTCCTATGTGTGCTTCTTCTGCTAAGTAAATCACTCAAATTAAATATTTTACAAATTTTATGTTCATTGTACATACTTATGAGGGGTACCATAAAAAAGTCAGAAAGGAGATTAATAGTTTTGTCTTTGTATCAAAGCTTGAAAACTGGGCAATAAATAAAGCACATGATCACACTGTACAATAAAGAGAAAAAATATCGACTAGTGGTTTATTAAAATGAGCTCTCTACTCCTTGCACTAAATGAGGCCAGACCTTTGGAAAGAATATTATGTAATGATGTAATTAAAAACTGAATCATGATGCATATCCTTAACTAAATTTGCACTGGCAAATTTAATTCTAAAAGTTTACTTGCTTTTAAATACATTATTTTACAATCTTATTTAGATTCTCTGAGTCATTTAATGCTTTGATTTATTCATATTTAAACATATTTACTGAAGCAACATGAATACCAAGTGTTTACATATCATTTTACATTTTGCAAATATTAAATAATTAGTCCTTTCCCAATAATCTGAAAGATAAGTAATAAAATACATCTTATCAAGTTTCAGAAACGAAATTCAGTGATAGTTAAGAAGAACACAGTCCAAAAGAGATTACTAGCTAGATGTGATTTCTGGTCTAAATATATTCTCCGTCCTTCCTTCAAAAACATTCAGTATTTCATCATCTGAAAATGCCCTGTACCTTGAGGTTTAGGCCTTGACCTTTACAGCCAGTAAAGGCAGGGAAAAAAACCAGACCCATGAGGATGGAAATACTTTGTAGAGCATTACAGTTTCACCATTTTCAACCACTCAACATCTTTTACATTTGAATTACAATTTGAATTATTTGATTCCTCCTTTGGAACATCATTTATCTTTTAATTATAGATGTCAAAAATTTTCCCGTGCAGCAATACAGATCTATTTCTTTATAGAAATATTCTTGGTTGAAACATAACAATTACCTTACAATCCTTCTTCTTCTTACAGTCCGTTTTTAGTGGAGAATTCAAAATATCATTGAATTAAAAACTCTTTTTACTTTATCTTCTTGAGACAAGGCAACCAATATTTCAGCATACTAGACCACAGTCAGCACTGAGCCTGTGATACCATTGCATTTGACCTACAGGAAACCTTTTTGGTTCTTGATATTTAATCAGTTGTACATTCATTCCACTAACTTTATATCATGCAGCTCCAAGAACCAAACCCTTACCCCCTTTCACCTTAGTAATTTTTAAAATATGCAACACTTCGTATAACCTTAATTTGTTTTAAAATACCAGAAGGAAATGCAGTACTGACTAACAGTCTTTGAAGAGAGGTGACTGTTTAAAATGATGCCTTAAGACCCTTTTAGTTTCTTATTTTTCTAATTTTGTAAGCTTTATAAGTTTCATAAGAAGTAGAAGTAGATTTTAGAAGCAGCAGCTATATTATATCCCTCACCATTTAGCACAGTAGTTTACACATTCCTCGACCCTCTTACCCCATTCCATGCTCCCCATATCAATTCTACCCCTGAATTCAGTAGAAATGTTTAGTCTTTTGTCAAGGCAGGCGTATTCTGTTTAGAGAACACTCATATCTTAGCCTGAACCACAGAACACAGTCAAGAACTGGGTGACCGTGTACCCTCTGTACTCTGAAGATGATGAAGGTGATGAAGAGGTGGTCCAAAAAACCCCCAGACCCAATTCCCAGGGGTTGGGCCAGGGGGTGGACCAGGGCAAAAGCTACGGGATGGACAAAACTTGGATTGGTCGGGCAGTATTGTAAATTGTAACACCTGAACACGGCCGGCGTGCGTCTTGTAACATCTATGCCTAGGCACAAATTAAACCCTTTCCTTATCTCACCCTCAATTAACTGCTCTGGAGTTCTTTTCTTAGCACCATTTTAGCCATCAAAAAGAACATTTCAAAAGCGTAAGTACAAGTGAACCAGTGTCAGTCACCTTGGATGTTTTTATACATCAGAATGGTGTATAATGCATATACCATTATGCCAGTCAGCCAAACTGCTGTGCCCAATAGCAGAATGCTGTGCTCTGGTTATAGAAACATAGAGTCATAGAAACAGTCTGTCAGTGGCATGGTAGTTGGAAGGTCTGGTGACTGAGGAAGTGGTTTTATTCTGGTCCAGCACCATACTCATGTAGTTATGCTGCTGTAGTCTATGAAGTTGAAAGACTTTTTAAAAAATTATATTGATGTCTTTCACTGGGGTGTGCTCTATTGCTATTACAGAGACAGAATTCCTACCAGGCTAACAAGATTTCAGACCGACACAGTGGCAAGTATTGCACGTGGAGGTCTCTTATCATTGCTTTTTGTTCACCAGAGCAAGCTGCTAAAGCACAAAGTTATGCAAAAATGTAGACTATTAAAGTGGTTTATGAATCAGAGATGCTATGTTTCATGGAAAAACCACTGGATTTCATATCATTAGCTCTTCACCTCGGACAGTTGATTTGTGTTTCTAACTCATGCAGAGATTTTGAAAAATTTCCTGTAAGGGTATCAGAATGATATAACATTGTTTGCCATACATCTGAGCCATTTTCATTTCAGAGCATTTTACCTCTTGAGACTGGTAAAGAGAAACATGAATTGATTTGGCCTACTTGGTTTGCACACTCAAGACTGTCAGGTCATCCCAAAATCATCTGTAAGATCTGTCACTTATACAAGCTGATTAGCTGAAATCCAGTATTTGTATTTCTTTGTGGCAGAAAATACTTGGTCTTTTAACTTATTTGAAGTTTGCAATACATACTGAAATTTAATACTGCAACCACAAAAACTATATTGATTTCTGTATTGAATTCTATAAAGACGAATTTAACACAAGTATATAACATTTTCATGTAAGAATTCAGTGTTAAATATCTTATTTGTCTGGGTGATTAATATTCAAGAATTGAAAAACGCAATTCTTCGACAATTGTTGATGCACATTTAAAATGAACAAAACTAGCAAATGATGGGTGAAAGAAGGCTGTAAGCCCAATAATACAAAAGAGGTTCCCATGTGTCAACTCTTGCTATTTTGTGCATGAAACGTTGATGGCTTTGCTCCTCTTTATGCAAATTAAAGCATAGCTATAGATTTATGTAAAAGCTACAGACACCTTCCTCTCTGGTCATTTGTCCACAAGGTCAGAAAAGCCAGTGTGAACTCTCTGGTTAAATTTGTTTTATGTGATTGACATTTGGGGTTTCAAGCATGACAGAATGACTTCTTGGTCTCCAGATGTGGAGAACCAAACAAGCAAGACAACTTTGCCAAGCCTCTTTAGCCCTCCCCTAACACATTGAACCTATTGCTCTACCCCTTCCTGTCTCTGGAGCCTTGTCAGTACTATCCCCTGCAGTGGAGCTGTGCTGTGCTCATAAAGCATGGGCAGGGACAACTTTCACTAGTTTAAAAGCAAAAAGATGACCTAGCTGTGATTTTTAAATTATTTTAATTACCTGAGTACCTGAATTGACTTTCATTAAATATTTAAACCAATTTCTAAATCTCTTTTATAATATTTTGATTTTTTCCCTCACATATTATTTTACCACATAAAATACCAGTAAAGTAATGCTTTATTAAAACTACTTCCAAGCACAACAAAAATATGTTCTTACTTGTTTAAGTTTCTTTAGATCTTCATCGAGTTCCAAGTTGTCCAAAATAACAGCAACGAACAAGCTGAGTAGAATCTACAAAACAATTGTAAATGATTTGTTAAAGTTGACTTTATTTTTCTTAAGAAGTACTACTAAATGACATGGAAAAATGATGGCCCTATGGATATAAACTGGATTCTTGCCTTTGACATCTGTTGAACTAATATCTCCTAGCTTCTATATATCTCCTAGCCATTTTGCAAGTACTAAATTGATTTTTATTTTACCATAAAATTAATGAGTTTAAAAATGTTGAATTCTAGGTTTGATGACAAATGCATTATATATTTTATCAATATACTCATTAAAATGTACTTCACTTGCAAAGAAAATTAAATTAATCATAAATAATAATTAAAAAACCCACAAAGCAAAATCCTAAAACAGCTTGTAAAGTTAAGGTAGTTTTCAATTAAGGTAGGAATCTTAGCACTTTTTTTAAAAGAGTTAGAGGCCTAGAATATTTCTGTGGTCTTGGACCCCTGAGTGACAACCAGAGCAGACATATCGTTTCAGCACTATTGTAAATGAAGTGCAAGTTTACCTGTCCCACCTATATAGAAGATAAAATTTAAGTGGCTTAGTATGCCAGCAAGGAGTTTGGAACTCAAACTGCATCAGAGTTGAGTGTCTGGACCTTATTCCAAGGAAGAATTTTCTTTCCCTCCATGAACTATAAAGGTACAGAAGACACAGGAAGGACTCTGGCCCAAAAATTTAAAAACTGTCAGTGTTCAGAAAAAAAATGTGTTCTTTAAACAGGAAAGTGGCTTTAGCAGACATATTATATGTGCCACATACTTAAACAGTACCTCATACAGTTTTCAATGATCCAACTACTATGAACAGTGGAAGTAAAGATAGCATTCAGAATGGCAAAGCAAGACAGAATTCTGATAAAATACGTAATACCTGACACAATGTGGAGGCCCAGAGAAGCTGACTTTAGTCACAGGATGGACTGTGGTGATACAATCTCCTCTGCCTCCCCCCAGCCCACACTATGATCTGAGAAATGCTCATTAGGCCTCAGCCTTGATGAACTGCACAAGGTCTAAGCCCCTCCTGAGCTTATTAGAAACACTGTCTGTTCCCAGGAACTAACAGATGTCTAATAAGCACCTGGTTTTTAATGAACTGTCTTGAAAACTTATTTTTCTTGCCTGAATAACAACTCAAATGGAATAATATATTTGTTGTTGAACTTTCAAAGCAAGTTACTGACTTGAATTGTGGCCAGAATGGAAAATTACTATAACTAAAGCCCGCTCTCTAATGACCCTATAAACAGCGGTCTAAAGTGAGATGCTTTTGAGGTCTTGATTCCCAGAAGAAGGGGATAATGTTTGTATCTATCTCAAACACTGATAACTGGATGGCTGTGGATCCAGCCAATGACTATTAGTAATAACAGATATGAATTGTTGGTAATAACCAAGGACTACTGGTGTTAACATGGCATAAGAAAGAACAAGATTTGGCTGGAGAAGGGGGGGAAGGCAGAGATAGGGCAGTGCTTTTCTGTGAGAAATAAGCACAACACAGTACAGTGCAAGATCAAGAGTGGTAGGAAGTGGTCATGAACTACAGGGTGGGATTGTGACCACCAAAGTCCCCCAAAGCCCTACAACCCATTTCAAGAAAGGCCTGAAAGAACAGACTGCGCATGATAACTAACCAGCATAGAAAGCGAGAAACCCGTCTCTGGGGTGGAGAAACCTGTCCATAAAATGGTACCCACCCAAGCCCAGGCAGTGCCCTTCAGGACTCTGGACATCTCATTGGCCAGATGGATGCAGCTGGATTGACACTTACCAGCTGGTCAATGCTGAAACCAGGATCGGCAACCCCCCAGTTGGATTGACACTGGAAACAGGACTCTCTTTCACTTTCTTTTTCTCTTTTCCTTTCTCTCTTTCTTAATTAATTCATCTCTTCCCCTTTAATTTCTCTATTCCCTTTTATCCTACTCCTTTATCCAAAACCCACTGACATGTGCTTACATAGCAGGTCAGGGAGTAACATACCAATTTCCATGCCACGTGGAACTTTCTGACTGTGGACTCTCTGACTTTTGTCATTCCTTTAGATGATCAAGCATTTATGAATCTTAGGTGCTTCCTTCCCCTTAAGGGTGGGTTGTCACACACAAACTACTTAATTAATGATGAACAGTTTTGCTATAATTTTGTCAGGATTTTACGGTATGGTGTTTTCCTTCTTCAGATATGTTACATTCCATGATACTCCAGAACCTGCAGCTCAAAGCATACCAGTTAAGGAAGTGCTGTTCCATAGTAAAAAGAAGTATGGTACTCATTAAAGATATCACCCCTTACAGTCTTGTTGATTCACGCACTGATATGTATCAAGACAAGACTTTCTTGCTCCCTTTTTTCTTTTTTTCAACAAGAACCAAAAATGATGTACCACAAAGTTCAATGTAAACTTGTTATTTGTTTAATTTCCTCTGCTGCCATCTCAACTAATAACAGTCCTTGGTTCCAAGAGTGGGATTTTTTTCCAAGCTTCAACTTTTCTTTGCCTTTTAATGTGAAACCTATTCATTTCTTTCCAAGGCTCTACAGTGTGCTTTGCCAAATGCCTGCAATTATCTCTTCTCAATTCTAATCCTCCTCCCTCTTCCAGTCGTTAAAAGTAATTTTTTCATTTAACTTCACTCTTGTTATTCACTGATGGCTGTTTATTCTTAGAATGCTTCTTTTAGGTTTCAGTAGCAGCCCAACTGTTTGCATGCTCCCTTACCAGTTCCATGTTATTTTCTTTCTTTAAACTTCTTTTACCTATAGAAAACTCTGTCCTACACAGTGTTTCTCTTCCAGGGTCTAAGGAAGGTCTTAGAACTGAAACTAAAAAGCCCAGGTAATTGTGCAAAGTTGTCTTTGCAGAGTTTCTTCATTCATGTAAAATTTGCAGCGGTGAATGAGAAGAAAGCAAAGCAAGGACCATGGACTTAAATGCAAATTCCCTGCAAAAGGACTGAGGACAGTGTACTGAGACTTTGCTTCTAGCAAAATAAGTGCTTTGAGTAAACAAATAGGGAAGTCTCAGATGACTCTTTCCAAACATGAAACACAAGGCAGAATACTAAAATTGCTCTTATAGCTAAGTTACTTCTCAATTAAGAAGTGACTTTTTGGAACAGAGGACACTTGACACTATTTTGCTTTATGGACTTGCTTAATGCTCATCTAAGAGGTAAAAATGGATGCCAGATCAGACAATGTTCTTGATGAAGCATCACAAAACATCAATAAGATTCTCTTACCAATAACTGCTTTCAAATCAATGGCCAAAACTCACTTCCCTTTTGCTTTCTATCCCCAATTCCTAAGGAGTTTTAAAGACCACTGCAGCATGAAAAGTTGTTTTTCCTGACCCTTGTGAACAAATTACATGTCCTATATATCTGCTGATACCTACATTTGTTTGGCTTATATTTTAATTTGGCTAAGCAGCTCTAAGAGCATGAAATGCACTTTATTGCCATTTATAAAGTGGTCAAGTTTTCAATCCATATGAAGGAATCTGCTGCACCCACAATTACAGTCTGATTAGTCAGTCTTTAGAAGTGAAACAGGACATACTGTAAAGTAAAAGAAGTAAATAGAAGCTGATGAAGATTGTATAAATACATTTAATACCTTATGTAAGTAGACAATTGAGTAAAGAATGAAAATAGAATGAAGGAAGTGAAAATAAGAGTAAGTGCATCAAAACATCCAGTGAATGGAAAATACAAAATGAGCAATAGTAGGAGTGAATTAAGGGAGCATAAAATGGTTAGTCCCCCTGATTGTGGTATTTTCTCTGTGCTGGTATTCAAAATACAGTACTTATGATGTAGTATCCTTACTGATGTAGGATAACCAAAGAGATGTTTTCCTTCTCATTTTCTCTATAAAAGAATGTAATAATCCCATTTTAAATGCATACAGAAAAATGGGGCTTTTAGATATAATCCCCATTTCTGTATACATGGAGGAACTGCTGTATTAGTTATCATCCATTTATTGCTTGATATTCTATGTCATATATATATGTGCATTGATTTTGCATCAGACAAGAGGAATGTAGTGATTACTAGTTAAGTTTATATCCTAAGGCTTTAGACTTCTTACTTTAATTACTATTGCAAAGAGAATGCAATGAAAGCTGAGGAGACCATTTCTACATGATAAATAAAATCACTTGCTTAACTCCACAATCATTAGAGCTGTGAAAGTACAGGACAGATAACAATTATACTGTTAGTCTAGCAGTGTTACTTGGATCTAAGAAGAACACCACCTCACACCAGAACAAAGCCCACCACTTTATGCCACATGGCTGAAGGGTAAATTAATTCTACCACATCAAAGAATTAGTCCTAAAGCCCTCTATGCTAAAAATGGGCATCACAATTAGTTTTAACTAGCTGAGAATACTAAGTAATACAAGAGCTATGAGAATAATTCAAAACCACAGCATATTTAAGAGTGAAAACTTACCAGAGTAGCAAAAAGATGATACAGTATAAAATAAATAGCAACTACTGGTGCCCACATATGTCCTACAGCATTCAGTGTCTGATCCATGACATCCACCCATCCTTCCTGTGTGAGAATCTGAAACATTGACATGAATGCCTGCAGGAAAGAGAATTGCCAGCATATTAACAAATTATATTAATATGGTTTTATTGACACATTCCTAAAGTTGATTTAACAGAGTAGAACACCTGTTTTGTTCTGCTTTTTAAACCTTAACAAATGTATTTAAACTTTTAAAGCCAAGCAAAAAGCTATTCATGAGCTAAAGGAGAAATCAATAGCTTGACCGTTCAACTGTAAACTGCAATTTGTAACATAGTCCTAGCTCCATTAGCCCATATGAAGAGTTTTTTGGTTTCCTTCAGGACTGCAAAAAAAAGAGAAACATCCTGAGCATCAGATATTATTGTTTTGAATGTTATACTGTATTGTGATTTTTTTATTATGCTTTTTCTTCCATGTTACCTCTTTATGAATATACTTATAATGAAGTGTTATAGTTAAATGTGACCACACTTTTATGTAATCTTAATAGTAGAAGCATTTGAGGCACCCCACAGGTAAGATTAACCAACAAAAGGCAAGGTCTCAGTACTTGCACTTGATTCAGTCAGTCAGACTGTTCCTCTACATTTTGTAAATAGCAAATAGTGGAACTGTTCCTGTAACATTTTCAAATCCCTTCAGACCAGACATACATTTCAGAACAGAGGAAATAATGGAAATGTTTCAAACAACTTTATTTGGTGATAGGAACATATGAAAGCAGATAAATCTAGAACCCAGATGCCTTAGACCTTTGGAACCCCAACTGGAGCCTATAGCATCGACCACAATCGAACTCAACGTGAGCATATACATCCTACACAGCTACAGAGGACTGCAGGCTGCCTAGGAAACAGAAGTTGGACTATGGTATCAAAGCGAAGTGTGGATCTTGATAGTCTTAACTGTCTCAATGAGGTCAAACTATTGCACAAGTTTCTTTTGCTTTTGCCTGACATCAAAAGTGCTCTCTTTCCAGACAGGATCAAAGTTGGTATCTTACGGAAATTTATGCATAACAAAAAAGTGTTAGGAACTGAAGACATTAACAATGTCTTACAACAATGCAGCTTACAACTAACAGGATTCCTATAATTCAAGATGTTAACACAGTTATAAAGATATATTAGGTCTGTGCTCAGTGTGCCTGACACTCCCAGCAACAGCAGATTAACACATTAATGCACAAAGAGAACAACATTCTTCTTGCCAAACCTGTGAGAAAACAGTACCCAGAGAGCTATTCACATCAATTTACCCTAAGTCAAAATGCATGCTTGAAAAGCTGAAAACATGTAGGTATATAAACTTATGTGCTTGGGAAACAACAAAATGAGTTCTAACTAATTTTTAAAGCTGTTGGCAAAAATAATGGTGGGAGACTTCAGTTTTATATTCCTATTATAAACTACAGGCAATTACTTTGCTTGGGCTCCTTATCAAGTTTGCAGAGTTTTCCAAACAAAACAATGACTTCTCTAAGCAGTTTCTTCCAATGCAAACACAACTCTAAAGGTTACACCCACACCCTTAAGGGAGGTCACTCCAGAATGTGATTTCTCACCTGCAGTGAAGGCTAATTTACTCTAGAGAAGATTGTCCATGTGCATACATACAGCACTTGGTTGTGGTCTACGTAAGGTCCCTATGGGTGCAACACATCACTAATATTTGGTGACAAGGAGCTGGTTCCAACTATCTGAAATAATAAGACGGATGTGGCATGACTCACTACGTTCTGTTTCTGTATCATGAAATCAAGGGTGTATGCTTTTTGCTTGAAATTTGAAACAATGGCCTGCAAGTACAAAGCATGCTGGGGTGTTGTAACAGGGCTGGGTAGGGCAGGGACAATCTAATCCAGTGCATCTTGTTATGCAATCACTGCATAAAAGGAGTTTTGGAGTGCCCAGCTGGAGAGAACAATTTCCCAGAATCACAGAATATTCTGACTTGGAAGGGACCCACAAGGATCATCGAGTCCAACTCTTAAGTGAATGGCCCGTGCCCAGGGATTGCCTCAGAGAGGGATTTCTGGAAGCAGAAAGAAAGTTAACAACTAAGCAGCATCAGAAGGCCACTGATACTCACTATCTGTCCATTCTTTCATTGACCATGGATAAGGATCGTAGGACTAAAGCTTTTTCTCCTCTGTCTAATTAAAACATATTTTAAAGTAAAAAATTGGATCATGTTGCCTCTAGATCATGTTCAGAGGAAGAATCGTGAATTTTTACTCTGTTAGAGGGGTCACAAACATTTAGATACTGAGGGTTTTGAAAAAATTTGCCTGCTGACTCTCACAAAAAAAAGCCCCTCACCAGAGTCCAACTTGGTTTTTTATTGCTGATATGTTCTGTGGCATTCTGAAGCAGACAGAAGCATAAACACATTGCTAGATTAAGACCAAGGAGTTTGAGAGCTATTTTTACAGTTGCTGTTCAGAATTAACTCATACTAATCAAATTTTCGAGAAGCTTAAGCCTACAAGTCCAAATTACTCACAAAAAGTGAAGCTAAGATGTACATGGAGCAGCTTAAGGCATCCAAGTGAGCAATCACACACATTGGGAAAGAAGTTAAACATCAGACTTTAATTTTTACATCAGCAATATCTTGACCAAATGTAAAGTCCCAATCTTTCTTTTGAACACACAGATCCCACAGAGAACAAAGGCTATCATGAACTAGAAGCAGCAGAGAAAACTGCTTGCAACTACTTTTTTTGTAAATTCTTTATGGTGGCTAAAGTTTTTGGTATATCATGTATTAGGAGAGACTAAACATGACGGCTGGAATTTACACAGTGCCCTCTACTTTATGTTGCTTAACTATGGCCTTAACTAGCATCCTGCCAACCTGAATCCAAGATCCTCCCTTCAAATTAGTGTCCCCTTACAGCCATGCACATGGACTCTTTACACTGCGCAAAATGCAAACTCTTATTACTGATTCATTTTCTTACAACAAATCATTTTCTCCCCATGGAAAACATGCAGAAAAGGAAGCATTTGCGATCATTATCTAGGAGAGGCCTTGTGTAGCCAGCTGAGCATGCATGAAGCAAGCAGAAAATTCAGCCTCCTTTACAGCTGCCAGTGGTGGTGAGGATGAAGAAGACAATGACCCCATCAGTGCTCAACACTGCTTCTCGAGTCTCAGGTTCCCTTCGTAATGGGGAGGTGAAGCTAAACCAGGCAGCTGTCATTTCCCTGCACTCAGAGTACCTCTGGAGCCTGTGGCAGTTGTACCTGACTGGTGTGGCACTCCTTGCTGAAATATAAGGGAGGCACTGCATTAAGTAACATACCCCATTGTTGGTTTTAAAAACACCTGAGGGACTGGGTAACTGAACCAGTGCAGTACCCTTTCTTCTGAATCAAAGTGAATTCCAATATTTTACTGTTTTTTAAAAATATATATTTTACTTAATTCTTCAAGGTGTAAAGATACCTCCAATACTGTGACCTCTCATAAATATAAGTACTAGATTAATGTGGAGAAGATATTCTTTGAACATCATAAAAATCTAATCTTCCATTTAAACTATGTCCACTAAGCACATAGTTATATAAAATGACCTTTCAATATAATTTAAGTATTTTATTATACCATTAAAGTCCAGTATATGAAAAAAACCCATTAGTTTTAAGTAAATAAGGCAGTGCACAATGAGTATGCGCTTTGCACCTAGCAATCTCCTTTGGAGCAAGTTATTTTTAGCTGAAAGATAGACTTCCCACTGTTTATTTTAAAATTAATTTGAAATGCAACTAGCTGACAGAATCAACATCTGTGAAGACAAGACTTAGAGATTTATGCAAATGGTGATTTTCTGCATTAATTTGTGTTATAGAAAAGACTGTCAATTTCTTTGAGTATTTATGCCCTATTACTTAATGAGCTGTTTTGATGATGGAAGTCAAACTACCTTTTTATTTATAGTAGAAGATTGGCAAAGGTTTGGTAGAATATATGAGCCAAAGCACCAGTTCTGATATCTTGTCCAACTATTACAGGGGTGGTGCCACACAAATTACTATTTAACAGTTATAATGTACTTGTCTTGTAACTGGAGCTTGTAGCGGACAAATCCCAATGGCTGTATTCATGGAAGCTGTTCTACAATCAGTGGGATTTCTTCTGCAAATTAAGTTAAAGGGATTTAGGACATTGCTATAACTTCCTTGCAATCTGTTCTACTACCATAAACTTATGTTTTCCTCCTAACACACTCATGAATGCACAGTAATGCACTGAGAGAAGAGTAGCTGTCCTGTAAAAATGTGGCATACTGAGATTTTAACTGCATCAGAGAATTAAGACTACATTGTTTAACTTTTTAAATGGCTGTTGCTTAGGTTGAGCTAATATTTCATATCTTGAACTTTCTCCAAGCTTAAGGTTAGCAGCAGAGATCTGGTTTTGTGAAGACTGGAGGATTTTTGCTTCTGAGATCAGTTGGGCCTGGCTTTCATATTGTAATGACCCATTTAAAAGAAAGGCAGCATTCCCAGCTTTGTAACCTGAGATAGAGAGCAGTCAGCATACGGCCCCAAACTCCAAGAGATACCAGGACATGGAAGTCAGAGACATCAACGATATGTTTTGTTCTCCATACAGTGAATTTTCTTAGTGGCCTTTTTATACCTGTGCCTTTGAACAGTTTTCCCCTCCCATTCCTTCCTCAGGTGCCCAGCCACCCCTGTACTTTCTCATGGCTCAATATGTGCAGCCCAAGAAGACATGCAAAAATAAGAGATGGCAGATGGGTTAAAAACATTATAGCAAACATCTATATTTTTATACTTGGTATTAGATAGAAAGCCAGTCCATTGGGCCAAAAGAAGTAATGGCCAAAAGAAGGGTGAAATTAGTAGCCATGGCAACACTGAGCTTGTGCCTATTCACTGTCATCAGGAAACCATGTGAAAACATGCAATTTAGAGGCATTAGCAAAAGGAGGAGGTCTACTTGTTCCAAAACCCATACTGTGCCTTTTTATAAAGCACTTAGAGTTTCAAAATGATTGTAGGTTTTGTCTGTTTCAGTGTAGAAAACACTTTACTGTACAAACTCAAAATTTAGCCTCTAATGTCATCATTTTTGTTATCATGCTTGTCCTCTCTCTATTTGTAACAAAAAAAAAACCCACAGCAACAGTCCTGGACTTTTTAGGTTTGCTCTTCTCTGAGGGTAAGCTCCTAAAAATTTATCTTAGCAAATTCTGGTATTGCAGACCTCATATCATCTCCTACTTTATATAGTATGTCTTCAGTCATGTTTTGAAAATAATTATAATTGTCTTATTGCAAACTGATTCAGTGGTCTTTATTCAGGGCAGAAAATGTGAGAACTCCCCAGCCTTTTCTAGGAAGTCACACTCCTTTGGAGGGACGCCACTATTCACATAATCAATCACAAATTTTGAGTTCAAAATTTTCATTGACTTTAAACCTATTAAGAGATGTTTCAGTATAAAACTGCAAAAAGAAGCCACATACTGTAAATTACACACTTCTGAAACAATCATAACAAGGTGAATATGTATAAAAATAAAAAATAAATAAAAAATAAGGAGAGACTCTTATGTCTGGCCATCATATGAAAAATATTTCAAAATTTTCAATTCAGTATTGCTGGAACACTCCTTTATTGTTGATAACAGATCTTCTGATTTTCCAAGACTTAAGTCAGAAAACAGAAAACAAGTAAAGATATTTTCTGTTTGTAAAAAAATTGTATAATTTGCTGGAGAGAATATTTTCTCACTCTTCAAACATATACTTAGGATATTCATATATCTGTTAAAATTCAATATGCTAGAAGCTCTTATTGAAGTTTAAATGGCAACAGATTAAAATAATCCAAAACTTTATTAATGTATTGATATATATATTGGTAATTTGTCATTGCAAGTGGATCTTTACTCAGATACCAATTTATCTAGTCAAAATGTGTAGGTGTTTGTGAATCTGTCTTATTTTAATCATACTACATTAACTCTTTGAGGACTTCCTTTGTCATTTTGCATAAATAATAAAATAATTCTAAAACAAAATTCCTTGGTGATTTGAAATCTGAAGTTGGAGGTTTTTTTCAGAAGTTACACATGGGAGTTGGTCACACATTAGAAAAGCTTAAGCTTTTTTTTTGTTCGTTTGTTTGTTTTTTCCTTTCTTCAGCATTTAAACAATTAATTATACTGAATTCTACTGGATGCTTTACTAAGCACATTTTCCAAAATAGTTGGTGTTACATTATTCCCTGTGGGTAGGCATTTTTTGTCTCACATTTGATGGCCAGCTTCCCATACATCAAATTCAGGTTGATAATTACAAATTGCTGCTTAGCCATTTTGTTTGCTAAATGCATGACCCTTGAGGCTGCCTTATTCATTGTTATTTAATTGTTCCAAACAATGCACTTTCACTAAAATAGATACATTGGATAACCAAGCTGGAATGACAGAAACAAATAAATTGTCACTGGAATCAATCCATGTACACTCAGTCTAATCCACTATTAAAGAAATGGCAGTATTTTCATTCAGAACAGTCTGCTTCAATAAATACATTAGCTCCAATTTCCACTGATTTTCAGTGTTCTGTTCTCAATTAACGTAATGCTCATAAATATCCATTATTTATACCCAAAAGGCAAACAATTATTTCGTCAATGCAGACTGATTTTATAATCCTGTGTAAAACAAGCATTCCTGTACAAATCAAGAACAACATGAAGATATAAATCATGTATAGACATATTTTATATAAATTTTGTGGCTAATATTCACACTTGTGGGCATGAATCTTCTTTCTGTAACATGCTAGAGTACTGTTAAGCCATATGCTGTTGCGTTATCATCACAGTGCATAGGTAAAATTTCTCTATATTCCTTTGACAACAGAAATAGAACACCTCACTCAAAGAAAGACAGCCTTCACTACAGAAGGACTACAGGAAGACTGTTACACCCAGAAAATACAATTCTTTTATCTATACATATGGAGATAAACTGCTTCATGGTTCTCAGAAGGAAAGGAAGACCACTAATGTAATAAAAAATATGGTAGAATGTGACTTGTAGAGGTAATTTTCTTCCTAGTAGCTGGTACAATGCTGTATTTTGGGTTTAGGATGAGAATAATGTTGATAACACTCCAATGTTTTAGTTACTGCCAAGCAGTGCTTCCTCAGAGTCAAGGCCTTTTCTGCCTCTCACCTCACACCACCAGTGAGCAGGCTGTGGCTGCACGAGGAGTTGGGAGGGGACACAGCCAGGACAGCTGACCCCAACTGACCACAGGGATATCCCATACTGTACGGCATCATGGTCGACATATAAACTAGGGGGAAAGCTGACTGGTGGTTGCAGATCAGAGACTAGCTGGGCATCGATCAACGGATAGTGAGCAATGGCAATGTGTGCCACTTATTTTGTGTATTCTAATTCTTTTATCATTATTGTTTTTTTTCCCAATTCTCTCCCCCATTCCACTGCAGAGGGAGGATTGAACAAGTGGCTGTGTGAAGTTTAGCTACTGGTCGGGTTAAACTATGACAGAATCACAGAATCATTTAGGATAGAAAGAACCTTTAAGATCATGGAGTCCAATCATTAACCCAACACTGCCAAGTTCACCATCAATGGTAAGAAAATACCAATGATAAGAAAATAGTAACAAGTAATGAGTAATCATTTTGAGTAAGTAATGAGTAATGCTTTTTATACTTGCCCGTGGAAAGGTTGTAAATCTATCCAGTTCTTCCACAAAGCAAAACATCTGTAAACTGATTGCTGACATTACGATTAACAGGCTGGCAGTAAATACTACCAAACTCCCAAGTTTTTTTCCTGGTCCAAATATCTTATACACAAAATCCTCCAAAGCAGGAGAAATCTTTATAAGCCGAACTACTCTAAGAACCTGCACGGAAAAAGAAAATACAGCTGTATCAATGATTTGATTATCACATTAATCAAAACTTTTCAAAATATCAGGCAGTCATGGCCAAAAATGGACTTGCAGCCCTGTAGTCCAATAAATATTAGGTTGACACCACTTGTAACAGATGACAAGTTGTGTTAGGTCAAAAATATAAGACACAGAACATAAGCAGCATTTAGGCATACAGGCATGGGATGACAGCAGAAGTCTTGATAGTACAGGCATGGGAGGACTGAAGGACCCCAAGGCTGTAAACAACTCACAGATCACTAAGAGCCATTGGGTAAAGCTGGTTTTGAGGTAACAATGGGAACAAAGACATAGGCAAAACATATGACAGATAGTAAATCTGAATGTAATGCAGAATTAGAGACCAATGGAGGCTTATAGTGTGTTAGCAAACATAAGAATGGCTCCAGGCAAGGGTCAAAGCATATCAGTCTAGATTTAGCAACTGAGAATCTACTGCAGTGCTAGTAAATTGCTCTGGTTTGATTAGCATCACTTCTAAAAATTCATACTTATTCTAAGCAGGCAGGCTCCTGAACAGTCTTTGAAGAAACCCCTGCTTTGAGCAGCCAGCTAGATGAGATTACTTTGAAAGGCCACTCCAAAACTAGACTCACATAAAGAACTGCCAAATCTTTCCATTTCAGCGATCGAAGGCAAAATTGTTTGGCATTGTGTACTATGTAACCTAGCAAATTTGGTAATGAACATATTTTGCTATTTCATATTATATATAACATGGGAAATTTTGGGTGGCATTTCTCAGTATCAGAGGAAACAGCAATGTGTGCCACTGACATATTTGACACCTTGCAGTATTAGTATTGGCAGCAAAACTTTGATCTTGTGCTGAACTCCTGACCCATTTACTGCTGAGTCTACTTGAAAGAGCTGCTGACAGCTCTTATTCTCCTATTTCTGCTACTGATGGTGGCACAGTGACATGAATATCAGTATCAACAAGAGGCAGTGGCAACAACAGTAGTTGCTGAAGACAACAGGCAGCAGCATATGGAGCAACTGAGATTCTGCAGTTCTTTGGGAGAAAAAGACTCTCTAGTCCAAGGTATCATCTGGATTTCCACAAGAATCATATTGCAACTGAAAGGTAGGAATTACAGTGTAGTTATTGGTTGAACTATGTGCAAGTCAAATACAATTACTATGCTGTTTTTGGAGAGAAAATAAGTATGACAGTTGTTCACAGAATGAGATCACTGTACTTTGTAGTTTGCTAAATACTGTACAACTTTGGATTATGCATGAAACTCATCTCCCTACCATTTGTAAGGTATGCAGAATATGCTTGTCATTTAGACTTTACTGCGAAAGTGGAGCGAGAGAGAAAGTCGACTCAAGAGAGCAACTTATTCCAAACATACCAGAGCCCTTGTGTGAGATGGAATGAGCCTCCACCGTCTTCAGTAGTAAACAAAAATGCCAGATCAGAGGTTAGACTAGACTTTTGTAACATTAGCACAAGGTGAGATAAAGTCCTTTCTTTCATATAAGTACTGTGGTTACATTACATGAAACTGGATACCAAGGCAGACAATGAGATGAGGGAGATTTCCAAGTACTATGAACATGTAAATATGGTGCCTTCTTACTTACAAGATTTACTCATGGTGTAAATGTTAGCTCTGTTCCCATCAATACTAGTTTCAATACAGACCCCAGTGAGGTGAAGATTTCATGCTAGTTGGTATTCTGTTTTAGATAAATGCAATTATTTGCCTTACTTTTTTCCCCTGTCTTTGGGGAACTTTATTGACCTTTAAGCAACACACTAACCTTATTGTACTATTTGGTTTATTCATTTATTTTCATTAGGTGACAAATTGAATTTAACAAAAGTGCACTCTAATAAACATTTATGCATTTTGTGTAATTGGATTGCAAATTGTATTAAATTTGGGAGCTGTGGAAGATGCACTATTTGGATTAAAGATACGTTAAAGAACAAATCAAAATGAATAATACAAAAGAGGAACCACAGCTTTGTTACAAAGAATGCCTGCATCTCTTACAAGGAATGATAGCTATTCAGAAAATGACTCCGCCATATTTTCCCCAAGCAGAAATACAGTACCATCTCTTCAGTCCAGTAGAGGTCAAATTCTGTTTAAATCTCTCCCTTTTATGCTGGTTCATTACAGATCTCTGCAATAATATGCAAAATCTGTCATTTCTCCACTAGTTTTGTGTCCTATAGATTATTGCCATGTAACAGTTCTTTGCTGTAGTCTTTCACAGAGGACTTTCCAAAGTGTTTTGAATGAATGCACAGTGAATGCAAGAAAGATAGGTGGGAGGGTGGACAGTAGCCAGTGTAGTATAGAGTGAATGATGTGTTGGCAAAAGGTAATGGTAAAGACCAATGAATAATGCAAACTGAAATATATGCAAGGAAGACTAGACAAGCCAAACAATAAATCTGCTTGCTATCCTGGAATGTGTCAAGTAAGACTTCTGTTTCCAGTAATCTGTTTTATTCACTGACAAGGAACACATTTAACCTGTCATCATGAATACCTAAAGGCCTGGAAATCTGCCTAACATCAAGATGTATTCATGTGAAAAAGACTTTTTGACCTTGGTTGAGTTGAAAATGTGTTATCTAGCTTGCCCAGAACTTAATTGCAGAGGAATACAGTGTGTACCTCCCTTACAAGTTGACATCAAAGGTATTCAACCTTCCTATCCTTTGCCTCTTAGGGGATTTGGATTGCAAAATAAAATCCAAATCTTTCAGTGTAGCAGGTGTTTCTGCTTGTAAAATATGCGTCTTTCATATATTCTGGAAAAAAAAAATCACATCTTGGAATCTTCTGTCATAAAAGCTAGCATGTTGTAATTAAAAAAACACCACCACCTCAGCTCCACAAAACTAATTAAATCCATTAAAAAGAAAATACTTATTATTTTATTATCAACATCTGGCTACATTTTAATTATACTTTCAATCCTATGAGTTAGTGATAATGTTCCCTATTTAGTCCAAAATGTTCATAAGCTATACTTAAAATTCTTAGAAAGAAACCACCAGTCATAAGTGGACTCTTCCCTAATAAATATGGACCAACTATTAACCAAGTTGCTAACTTCTTTAACTGAGATCTCCCAGCTATGTTCCCTGTGTGCTTTTGACACAGCAGTGCAATGGCATACTCCTGACAGATCATCCTTTCTTCCAGGTTAGATGTACCATGCTGCACTGAGTAACCATACTTTACATATTTGGACAGTAAAATCAATGCTATAATGATCTAAAAGTCTTCAAATAATATCAGGTGAAAGCAAAATAGATTTTTTCACCTGAAAGCTTTCTTGAGCAGGTTTGTAGAATCATTCAGAAAAAATACAGGATGACATTTGCAGAAATCTGAAAAGACCATTATACTTCAACCCACACTTGGGGAGTACTCACAGTATGTGTCACTACAACTAATCAAATTGATTGACAGGACTCTGTTGGACAATTTACTATTTTCCTTTATTGATTATTACTTATTCACCATGCCAATCCATTGCTGAATAATGATATGAATCCTTTATTATATATATACTTAAAATTCCCTTTCTTTAGCACTATAGAATATAACACATTGTAATGAATCCCAGTGCTTTCTCCCAAAACTGGAGCAATCCTAGGCACTTCAGGGAGGATGAATGGGGAATTAGTTGGGCTGAATGACAGGCAGAATCAGAAGTCTGAATTAATAAGTCTTTTTTTGTCTCTCTTTCCCACTCTTCCACAAAGTGAAAATGTAGGAACAGCCTCAAGAAACACACTTTCCCTCTAGATAAGGAATGGCTGGGGAGCTTAAAACCCAACTCTAAGAAGATTCTGGAGAAATGACCTCAGAAGACCCACAGTAACTAGAGCAGAGCCTCTTAGTTAGGCATGTGACTGTCACAGAGATGAAGATTTGGAGGAATAACAGCAAGTGTACTGAGAACTCTGGGAGAGCAGCCAGGAAAACAGTGATGGACACTACAGGAAGGCAATGTTGTAAACAGCTGTATACAGGGTCAAGGCTCAATGAAAGACAGTGAAGAAACTAATCCAGAACTTACTGAACAGTGCAGGTCAGATAAAAAATGGGAGTTACTGAAAACAGAAAGGATTTCTCAGCAAAGTTCGAAAGAATCCTATTTCTGTAAATCCACCCAATGAACATAGTTAAGAACAGAGAGATTTGTTATCTTAAAGTTATTCTCAAAATGAGTCAATACTGTGAGAAAATTGAAATTTGTGTGAAATGTTGATAGGTTAAGGTTTTAAATTGATATATAGGGTAAAAAGTAAAAGTAGCTGATCATACCTGAAAATATGTAAATTGAGAGTGATAGAGGTCTGGATAAATATGGAGAGTAGTTCCAATTACAAGCAGCAACTCAAACTTGTGAAGAGATGAGCTGATGTATCCTGTGAAACCCAAACACCAGATCTTCAGGAGAGCTTCTAAATCAAACAGAACTGTGAAAGCAACCTAGATAAATATATAAGACAAGAAAGATGCATTCAAAACACTGAGTTAAATTAGAAGTTTTTTTGTCATGATGCCTATAGAGGCTTTGTAGGGCAAAAATAAAGATCTTCATAACATTTAACAAAACCAACCATATTCTAAACAAAATAAACAATAATAGATTTCACTTTATGAAAATTTCCAAAGACTCAATACAGATAGGTAGATTTCATGGTTTGGAAAGCATGAAATAATAAATCAATCCAGCTGATCTTTAACTTTATGTACATATATAAAAAGGAAAATATGAAGAGATTTATTTTTTCAAAATACGAAGCAATATAGACAAGCCGTCTGAAGAATTTTAAGAGACCTCATGAACAAACCACAGTTTAAGGCCTCTAGTTTGAAAATTGCTATTTCAATTTCCAAAAATATCCATAGAAATATGACAGCCAAAACAGGTAGCAAAGAAGTAATGGGACTTAAACACCTAAAACAAATTTTAAAAAGAGACAAAATTCAAATTTAGTCCAGAATTGGTTAATTTTCACAAAGGTTTTAAAGAAGTTGTGTCTAGTAGGAAGTTACAAGGGAAGAAATCTACTTGTAGGGATTGAATGACTTTGGGGTTCTTCCAGAGGCTTTGAAATATTTGCACAGTAAAATGTTCAGCTTGGACAAAAGGAGACAATTTTGAATAGGTTTACATCTTCAAAACTTATCTTCTCTTACTTCTCTCACTACCAAAAATACATCTGCCTAGACACACTTCTTCCTCATGTACCTTCTTATTTTAACACTACATGTACTCTTAGATGCTCTCTCCCTCACTCTCCAACAGCCAGGAAACCCAATGGAAAAGATGCTTTTCCTTGCCTCAGAAATGTTCCTCTCTGACCCTTTACACATGTTGGGGTTTAAAAGAGACACTAAAATAACATTAGGTCATATCTAAATACAACTAATACTTTCAAAGTGCAGTACAAGCATTAAGGAAAAACAGCTCAAATCTTCTTTGAGAAAAAGCATTATTAGTCTTTTAAGATGGAGAGACTAATTGACTGTGAATGATAAGGTTTACTAGATTTGGCAGGGTATAAAAAATTTAGAGACTAACATTTTAACTTTGAATTGACAGTGACAATCTCTGGGATGCTGCCTTAATTACTCATATTATTTAAAATTTAAACTCTACAGTCCCTCAAAAATATATTTATCAACATAAAAGAAGGAAGTTGTGAGATAGCTAAAAAAATTTTACTTATTTTATGTGTACAGGACTGTCACAAGAAGGAGTGGAGATGGAAATTAAATGCTGAAGTTTATGTCCTATGTTTATTCCCCTAATCCACACATCTATTTACAAGAAGTGCTACCAGCTATATCATACAGCTTCCTTGAGGGATGCAAAATAGTTATCAGGCTTCAAATGTCTTCTGAATGATTCAATCAAGGCAAAATGCTTCACAGCACTCCAAAAATCTCTTCACATTAGGAAAGAAAGACTACTAGAAGTATTTGTGTGCTTTCAGTCATGGGGACAATGCAGGGACACTTTCAGGCTCTTATTCTCAAATGGATCTGGCCAGTTTTTCAGCCTGCACTCTGGGATCTCAAAGAGGTCTAGGAGAACAATGAGTCAAGTTTGAAGAGACTACTTCTTTACATGAAAATCTCTATCTAAGACACAAGGTAAATATTTTATTAAAAAATCTTAAAAGTAAAGCTCACTTTTAATGACAACACATCTAACTGAGTCCTGAAAGAGAAGAGGGTCAAGGTAAGAAAAATGGAACAGTGGGTAGAAAGCAGCTGGGATTCAGCTCAGAGCAGGTGGAATAGTCATCATCATGGCTAGGCTTTGTGAACGAAGATTTGGGAAGGACTCTACCCACATTTGCTACAAGCGCACTGGTGACTAAAGAGGCCAATGCGAGATAGACAAGTCTGGTTGCAAAAGGCACAGCAGAAAGACTCCTTAGGTGGTATTGGCAAGACACGATTCTTTCTGCGTTGTCTTTTCTCCTCAAGAGTGATCCTGCATGCATTCTCAAAAGAAGCATCAGTGTTATAGATAGTGCATCTCCAGGCCTCCCGATTGGAGGCCAGAGTAGACCAGTGATGAAGATCAATATGGCTGAGGCTGAGATGTTGTTTCAGGGAGTCCTTGTATCTCCTCTTTGGGGCTCCTCTCTTGCGGCAGCCAGTGGCAAGTTCACCATAAAGCAGGATCTTAGGGAGGCGGTGGTCCTTCATCCTTGAGACGTGTCCTGCCCAACGCAGCTGTGTTCTCAACAACATGGCCTCAATACTCATAAGTGCTGCCTGTTCTAGAACAGACGTATTAGTCACATAATCTGACCAGTGGATGTTTAGGATTGTATGGAGACAGCGTTGATGGAAGCGTTCTAAGAGACGCAGGTGGTGGCGGTAGATGACCCATGATTCGGACCCATATAAAAGAGTAGACAGCACAATGGCTCTGTAAACACTGATCTTTGTGCTTTTCTTCAGGTGTTTATTTCACCAAACTCTTTTATGGAGTTTTCCGAAAGCTCTGCCTTTGCTAACCTGTTGTCTATCTCTCCATCGATCTTACCATCCAAGGAGACCATTTAAATACACACATATACACTTCAGAGCACACAGGCTTCCTATTAGAACAAGACTAACAAATATGATGTTCACTGTATTTTAATTTATTCTAAAAATGTGTGGGCAGGATCATTTGCATTTCACATGCTTGTCAAATCAATTCAAACCACTGGCACTTAAAAATGTATCAAATGGTTTGCATAACATTTGATTACATTTATACACCTGTCTTCCTGCTGACAGAGATTGTATTTTTTTCCTTCCTTGTAATTAATTACAGAAGATTCAGAATATCTGACTAGAACTTTTTGTTAGATGTGAAATATAATACAACTTTATAGTTTTGCGGGTTTTTTTTAAAGCTCAAATCATTCCTTTCATTGCTGTAGAGACATGGGAAAAGCAAACTCAGATATGAAGCCAGAGCAGACCCACACAGAAAAAGCAGGTGTAACACATAAGCAGCCACTGAGCAGCCACTCTCTATCAGGTTGCTAATTTTGCAAAGAGGAGCTAACAGGAATGGGCTGTTTCTCTGAGAGCTACCTCCCATTTGATCAGCTTCCACCTGGAAGCCTTATGGTATTAATGGCACCTTCAGCAACATTATGTTTTGCCAGAAGCCACTTAACAGTTTTTTTTCAGAGGCAGAGTTCAGTATCAGTGAAAACCCAACAGTGACAGACTCAGTTTGTTTTCTTTGTAACAGTGGCTCATTTGCAGGGTAATCAAGCTGTCGGGAAAGACAAGGATTCTTCCCAGCAGGATCAGTGGGATTAAGGGCACAGACCTCTTGCACTTCTCTCACTACTAGATTTGACACAGCACTCAGTCCGTCCTTTATCCACGACAGGGCAAAGGCAGCAGTGCAAGGGGACAGGCTACAGAAGGAATCTAGGAGGAACTGTATAGGAGCACCTAGTTTTGAACTCTGGTGTCCAGACACTTTCAAGCAATATTTGTGGAAATCTTACACATCTCAAATAAGACTATTAGCCTGTAACATGTTTTAATGGAAGACAATGTGGGAGATGCATATAAACCAAACATCCATCTCTTTTCTGTCTAGGTACTGAGCAGTTAAAGCCAACATCCTCATTAAAAATTACCAAAATGAGTGTGAAGCCCTACTCTTTCCAGGTTCTCAGATACTGCACTGGGGTTTTGAGTAATCCTGTTAAAATTCTGTTTTTGCTTAATCTGCAGGGCTGATGTATAAAAGTTGAAATGCCTGTCAGAACCTCTTATTTACTACTGGGTATACAAACTTATGCAAAGAATGGATCTGGGTTTAGAATTAATTTTATCTTCTCATCTAGCTTTTGCCTTCTTGAGTCTGTCTTCTCTTTCCAACAGTGAAAACAAGTTTCTTTTCTCAGTATTGGGCATCTCAATAGCTTCACTTAGATTTGTCTACTGAGCTTAAGCATATGTATTTCTACAGTTCCAGACCACTAAAATGTCTGATCCAGAGAATGGACCAAGTGAGCTATTTTCTTAGACATATATGCTCCTAAAGCCAGCAGCTCCCAAGATGACTTCTGGAAAACATAACAGAAAGCCATGCTTGCTGTAATTTATCTGGCCATTTCCTTTAGCAAGGGGAATCCTCACTGCTGTTGGCTGCTCAAGTTAGCTCCCACTGAAGGGAAAGCTTTCTGCAGCCTAGTCTAATGGAAAAGACAGAGCAACAGCAGTGCATCCTGCTCCAACCAGTCGTCTTCACCAAGGAAACAAAGTAGCCACTGTGGAATAATCTGCATTGCTTCAGTATTCAGCCTCTTCAAGGCTCTTAAATACATTTTCTTTGTTCACCCTGTACTGGAAAGAACAAGTTTCACAATAACCAAGTAGGAAATGACACCAGTTTATCAATTCCTCCTCTCTCCTACGATTTTTTTACTCTTCTGCTGTTCTTATACATTCCTTTATACCTCCTTCTATAAGATACTAGGGTTTTGTTCTTGTTTGATTTTTATAGTGCCTCTAGTAAAGCATAACAGGCTTAAAAAAAAAAAAAGAAAATCAACAAATAGACATAAAAAAATGCTTTACAAATAAAACCCCCCACCTTTCTCTATCCCAGAATACTTTACGCTATATAATCAGAAATGTAAAATGTAGAATGTAAGCAAATGAATTTTCTGACAACCTCTCCACTAATAAATCAATCATCTAAGCTATACAGAAACACAAAAATGTATTGTTAAAGAAATTTGGACATAATTTATAGGACAGAATTATAATACACTAGTCTTCATGATACACTCACCTTGAATAAACTCTGGCAAGTATTTCTGTTGTAAAACAACCTCGCAAACCCTGTACTTGAAATAGATGTTGACTAGATTGTTTCTAGCACTGATTATTAAAAGCACAATTATACTATATATTCAGAGCCAAAACAGAAATAGGACATGCAGTGATCCCTATTTTGAAGAAAAATAGAATTAATGTTATTTTGTTAAGAATCCGGGCTCCACTTGTTGTATGCTAGGCATAAAGCAAAAATGCCTACTGTGAATTCACGGTCTCAGGCTTTAAAGCTGACTTAATTACTTTTTTCTGGCCAAGCACATTGTACTGGATTTGCCTGCAACAGAGTTAGCTTTCCTCAACATAGTTTGTATAGTGCTATTTTGGATATGTGCTGGAAACTGTTGGTAAACAGGAATGTTTTAGTTGTTGCTGAGCAGCACTTGCACAGAGTCAAGACTTTTTCTGCATCTCTCCCCACCCAACCAGCAAACAGGCTGGTGTTGGAGCTGGGAGGGAACACACCCAGGACATCTGACCCCAACTGACCACAGGGATATCCCATAACATATGATGTCATGCTCAGCATATAAAGCTAGAGGAAGCAGAAGGAAGAGAGAGACATTTAAAGTGATGATGTTTGTCTTCCCAAGGCACCGTTATGGGTCATGGAGCCTGGCTTTCCTGGGGATGGCTGAACACCTGCCTGCCCATAGGAGGTGGTGCATGAATACTCTGCTTTGCTTTGCTTGTGTGCGTGGCTTTTGCTTTACCTATTAAACTGTCATTATTCTCTATCCATGACTTGTCTCACTTTTACCCTGATGATTCTTTCCCTATCCCATTGTGGGACAGTGAGCAAGAGGCTGTGTGGGGCTGAGCTGCTGGTTGGGGTTAAACCACAATGGAAAGTAGAATGAGTTTCCCTGTCCTCAATTCTACCCTCATCTGTAGGGGTGTCATAAGAGAACCCAGCATATGCTGATGGGTTTTATTCTGATGTCTTATTTTTAGGAGAATCTTTTTCATGTTAATGTTGTTTCTTAAATGCTGTATTGGGTCTGGCTGAGATTGTGTTCATTTCCCCATAGTAGCCCGCACAGTCTGTGCTTTGCACTGGTAGCTACAGGGACGTTGATAACACACCGATGTTTTGGCTACCGCTGAGCACAGCACCAACACTGTAACACTCCTTCCTCAATCGAGGGCAAGATCTTGGGAGGGGACACAAGTAGGCCAGCTGACCCAAACTGACCAAAGGGATATTCCAGACCACATGATGTCAGCTCAGATATAAAAGCTAAGGAAAGAAGCAGGAAGGCAGGCATTTGTTAACTCCAATGGCTGCCTGCTAAGGAACGTGCTGAAGCCCTGCTTCTTGGAAGTGGCCGACCATCACTGCTGATGAGAAGTAGAGAATAAACCGTGTTATCTTTCGCTTCGCTTTTGCACACAGAAGCTTTTGCTTTGCTTTTGCTTTAATAAACTACCTTATCCCAACTCACAGGTTGTTTCCATCTTACTCTCTCCCCTGTCCGGCTGGGAAAGGGAGTGATAGAGTGGCTGGGTAGGCACCTGGCGTCCAGCCAAGGTCAACCCACCACAAACGCTCTTAAAACTCAAGATAGAATAAGCACAAGACATTTCACAATTACTCTTGTAATTGTTGGCCAGGCCAACATTGACTCAATATTCACACAAACTACAGCTATCTCCAGCAGCATGAGAGACAATAGAGTATGAGCAGCAGTGCTATCTCTACAATATGCACTTTTTTTATGGTTTGGACTCTGGTGCTGTCTTTTAACTTTTTTCTTGATTTCATTTTCATTTTCAACAGTTCCCATAACTGGTGAACTCTCAGCTTCATACAATTTTACGAGATCAGATACAAATACTAAAACTAAGATAAAAAATGTGTATCAACTCAAGCTTCTTTAAAAAAAGGAGATTCATGAAGCATTGCACTGTTATGAACTAAAGGGTCTAAAGGAGAGCATAAAACCACAGAGTATTGCCAATAAGGCAATACCAACAAAAGAGAAACCACAAGGAATATTCTGCTATCATGTACTCTAGCCTAAGAAAGTCTCCTCTGGCTCCAAAAATGGAGTGTGGAACTATTGAAGCCAGGGAAACTGCAATAACCATAAAGCTAAACATGTACCTAACCCAGGTAACTGTGATGAACACTTTGAGAGAGTTGATCTTGGTGCACTGGTGAAAGAACTGATCTTTTTACTGGCTTTTTATTCAGATAAAGTCATAATTCACAATGCCCATGGAAATAAATCTTTATAATAAAGAATCACACAATACTGACTTCACTCAATTCAGGAAAAACAAGTATCTATTTGAAGCTATGCCAGTACATTAGTACCAAAGATTTCAATTATTTTTTTTTAACTGAATTGAATAGTACTAAAAAGACATGTATGGAAGGTTCTAGTATCTCTAGTGCATGTTCTACAGTAAAATCCTTGACCAGTTAATGACTCAAGCAGGCTCCCTGTCAGAAGGTCACTTGCACTCCACTTCACTGGTTCAGGAGCATAGACTCCTCCTTCACCAAATTTATGACTGGTTAAATGTGGTTTTTTGCAGTATGCTCTCCAGATTGCTGAAGCCAGACTGTTTGTAACACTATTTTGGTTATGCTTAAGGACCTTTTGGAAGCTAAGTATGTAAAAATGATTTAGGGAAAAGTCCTATATTATTTTTTTAAAAAGAAAGTATTTTGTCATCTTTTTAAAGTCTTCTGAATGTTACACTCCTGCTGGAGAAAGATAGCAACTTAGCAGTCATGCATTGCCTGCAGATGTTATTCTTAAGCCTCAGCTCATTACCACTGACATTTTGTTTGAGGAAATTACCTTTCAAAAGGTTGTAAGATAGAGCTGTCAGCTATTGTCAGACAAAGGAAGTCGAACAAGTTAGCAAAGTATTCTCGGAATGCTTAAGGGAATAAAAAATTACATACTAAAATGTTCTTGACATTCACATTTTTTACTTTAGCTTATCTTGAAAATTATCCAGATAGTTATTTCAGCATACTCACCTCAGCTAGGTAAAATTCATCATATTGTCTCTTGAAATTTTCTCCTTTGTAGTAGTTACTAGCAGCAACAATCACATCGACAGCAACCATGCTTAGTATGAACATATGAAACACAGATGACCTCATCATTTTCTGCAAAAGAAAAAGCAAATTTTATCATCAAAATGAGTCAAACCACATGCATTTTAAAGTTCTTTTACATTGTCAAAACATAATCAGCTATAATAACAGCTATACGTTCTTCATATGATTGTAATTTATTTCTCTTTAAAATACAGTTTAATATATTCCTTCAACTGGTTTACATGTGCAAGTTTGGGGTTTTTGTTTGGTTTTTGTTTGTTTTTTTTTTTTTTACTTTACAGTTTTTATTTGCTAACTGACTTCTTACTGAAGGTTTATAACTTAACATGATATCCATTACTTGAGTATGTTTTAAAGCATAAACTGTACTTCTATCTACTCAGTTGGCTCTGATTAATACTCCTTCATTAGGATTTATTCTTACAAATCTTGTTCAGGAAAAAGTAACATCAATTCTATCTTGTGCATTGCTTTTCCTCAAGAAAATCGTGTAATGTGGGATTCATCTGATGTCAAACTATTGCCTAAAGTAATAAAACATATAGAATATATACACATCTGGGTCTATGAGCTATGAAGTACTCACAGATAATTCACATATCTATGCACTTAATGCTTTATGTCACTGCTGCCGCAACCCCAGAGGAGGAAAGAGAAACAGAGGCATGGAGCACTGGTCAAGAGTTTATACCCATAAGTTGCCAAAACAGTAGTGATAAGATACATAAGATGTTTACAGAAGTTCAAAGAAGTAACTTCTAAGCCCCCACCACAAAGATTGTGGACTTATGATTTACCCTGAAAACTAATCACAATCCTCATTGGGTCAGCCACAGCTGTTCAGGAAAATAAAACTCAAAATATAGAAGAACTCTGCCTCCCCTCAGCTTCTTGCTAAAAACACTGTATGCCTCTACTGGTTTCCGTTCACATAATCACATAGTAAATTAGGTTGAAATGGATGTCTTGAGATTATCTAGTCTACTGCTGCCTGCTTAAGCAGAGTCAGCTAGAGCAGGTATTCCAGAATTGTGTCCAGTCAGAGTTTGAGTATCTTGACAGAAAAAGGCTCCACAACCTGTCTGTTCAACCTATTCCACTCTTCGACCACCTTCACAGTGAAAGAGTCTTTTCTTCTGTTTGGATGTTCAAAATTAGACAACTGTCCCAGTGGAAGACAAATAAGATCACAGAGTCTCTGAGATTAGAATCTCAAAGGGCTTCTTGAGATGTTCTTGTCCAATCCCTCTGCTCAAAGCAGCATCACCTAGAGAATGTTGCTTAGGACCACATCCAGTCAGGTTTTGACTATCTTGAATGATGGAAACTCTAACACCTGCCCGGGCATGCTTGTCCTGCATTTTTACAGTGAAAATTTTTTTTCATGTTTATTTAGTATTTATTGGTGTTTCAGTTTGTGTCCATTGCTTCTTATCCTACCATTGGACACTGCTTAGAAAAGCCTCACATTAAGTATTTTTTCATACTGCCAAGATCTACTTCTGAGTTTATTATCTCCAGGCTAAACAGTTACAGCTCTCTCAGTATTTCCTCGTATGAAAGATGCTCCAGCCCCTTTATCATCTTTGCAGCCCTCTATTAGACTCTCTAAAGAATTCATGCCTCTTGAATTCCACCAGAGTTTTAAGGTAGCTTGCTTAAATTGAAGCTGAATGGAGATAAGCACATATTTGCAAGCATTTGGCTGATAGGCTTGCCTCGATTCTTAATATCTGGACTTGTTGTGTGAATTACAGGTCACATTATGACAGATCAAGCACTTCTCATGCAAGCTGGCTTCCTTTTGACCCTAGTGACATGAAATGGTTGTATATTCCAGCCCAGAAAGGGAGGCTCAGGAGATAAAGCCTTACATTCAGAAATTGACAGAACAAGCCTGAGTTAATAACAATGTCTAAAGACAGGTAAGTCACAAAAATAGTGGCTAAATAAGGTCTTGCTTTTATGTTTAATCCACAAGGCAAGCTATAAGAATACCATAAGTAAAGATAGGGCTACTGGCATCCAGCATGCATTTTTTTCAACGGTGTGATTCAAACCAGGTAGCATCCTATCTGTTACATTTTCATTTCACATGAATTCTAACCAGATAGTCTCTCTGCATATTTTACACTGCATTTTTAAAAGTGTCAGAATTTTCTTCATAATAACAAAGTATTCTGTCTCAATTGTGAAAGCACTTGCTAAAAGAAACTAGTAAGTTAGGCTGCAAAATGCACTTATCTCTCCTTTCATAAAAAACAACAGCGAAGCAAAATGGTAATACAGGAAGAACAAAAATGACAAACTGTCTTGGTATACATGTACATACATGCACACTTTCTCATATAGACTGTACCTTTGGACACTGTCGTGATTTAGGAATGACACTGCCCAATTTAGTGCTCTTACTGAGACTCTTCAAACCCTGCTGCTGCTCACTTGCTCCCCCCATTGCCTTGTGCAGCTTTAGGTCATTTCTTCTCATCCTGTCACTTGTCACTTAGGAGAAGAGACCAACTCCCAACTCAGTGCAGCCTCCTTTCAGGTAGTTTTAGGGAGCCTCCTTTTCTCCAGGCTAAACAGCCCCAACGCCCTCCGCTGCTCCTCAAAAGACTTGTGCTACGGCCCCTTCACCAGCTTCCTTGCCTTTTCTGGACTCATTGCAGCACCTTTTACTTTTCACTAAAATTCAATAAAGCTTCTTGTCCAGGCCGCCTTCCCAATTGAACTAAAAGGAGACTATTTAGCTAACAGAGAGTATTATTTTGAATAATATGATTCAACATTAAGGTAATACAGAAGGAGGCTCAGATAGGACACAAGCTAGGCACACGCTATGCAAAGGTAGAAACCGCTGGCTGAGGCATCAAATGAGGATGCAGCTGTGGTGAGGAATGCGAAAAGCACCTAACTGCTGGCAGAAAGACAGAGAGCACAAAGGGTCAGCAAGGTGGAGGTATCCAAGCAAATACCTCCACCACATGCACAGCAAAAACACTATGCTGAGGAGATCCAAAAAAGAAATTTACTACTTTTAGATCCCAGGACTGTCCAGTTCATAGGGGCCAGATCGGTGTCTTAATTTTTTCTACAGCATGTCAGAATCTAGCTGCTCACTTGGCATAAATGCTGTGCATGATAAGCAGTTTTCCTCTCAGACAGACTGCAATATCCTTAGATCAATCACAGTGCTCTAGCCCCCACACCTACTGTGACCAGCTTTCCCCCTACTTTAATCTGTCTTAGTTTGCTCTTTCTACATCACACAATGGTTTAGATGCATCTCTGCTGCAATTTTTGACCATGAGAATTCACTACCTCTTTACGTATTTTTGTATTTGGAATGAGGTCTAAGTGAAAGCTGAATTTAGCCAACAGCACTTGCCCAAGCCTTAAAATTTATTTTGGATCACCGCATCAGTAGTGTGTCATTTGGATTACAGCCCTTTTCAGGGCACACAGTGGTTGAAAATTCTCCACACAAACTTGAAAGAAGAGACATAATGCCAATTTTTGTTCTTGTTTAATTTACTGACCTTTTTTCAGGCCTCGGATGTCTGTTTCTTAAACTATGTAAGAATGAGATGAAAGAAATGTTCTGATGTTGCTGTCAGCCAGTTGCATGGTGGGAAAATTGTATCTAATATTAAATTGGACTTAAGATTACCTATGTTGAAGAAGTCTCAAGCGAAATGCCTTGTTACTGCCATCAAGCAACTACAACAGTGATGAAGTTCTTACATTTACTATGAATCACTTGTAATACTGGCAACTCACTTCATGCAGAATACTGATTCTCAGTGTCCACAACACTGTGAAGAATGTGGATGGCAGAGTGCATTAAAGATGCAGTAGCCATAAAAACCAATACCCAAAAAACTGTTAATGATCCAAATTCTTTCAGTGTTTGGAAATGGACAAAGAAGCCGAGGATTTGCTTTGTGCCCAGATGGGAATCTCACGACAACAGAAAAGATTTCTAAAATACTACTTATTTATTCAACACTAGGGATGTGCTTGGTGCAGCTGAGGGACTCTGGATGAAAAACTGTATTTAATACCCCAGATTCACCCAAAAGCTCAAGTAAGCAATGACACTGCAATTGCTGACAGGTGAAAACTATCTGGCTCACTTAGTCTTACAGAGCATTACCATGTATGGCCTAAAGCAGTCTTTAGTCATTCCACAAGTATCAGAATGGGGTACATTACTTCAATACTCCTCCCATATTCCTGGATGGCAGAGGCAGGATGATTGACGTAAATTGCCTTTGCCAGCTCACTGCCCTGGAGAAAATCGACAGCAGCTGCCACCTTACACAGCCAGAGCCACACAGATGCTAGCTCAGGAAAGCAATGGTCCATGCAAAATGCAGTCACTAAGCAAACTATAATAACTGAATAAGAAACTACCTTTTCCTAATGCTAAACTGCTTCTGGGGGCTTGATACGTACATCAGGTCACTCCTTGTATCACCATCCTTTATACAGGATTTTTCTTTCAAGTCCATAATAGATCATGCTTAGTAAGCAAGATGGTAAGTATTGCAAACTTCTAGGGTCTGACAAACTTAATAATGAAAGAACCCATGGGCCATGATACCCTCATATTACTAGCTCAAAACTGACCCAGCTGGTAATGTTCAATATTATCACATGAAACCTTGAAAGAGGTGTCTTCAAAGGGCTCATTGTTTCAGTTCAGACCCACAGAAATTTAGATTGCATTTGACAAAACTAACACTCTTGGTGGTGATCTAAGAAAAAAAAAAAGAGGAAAAAATGGCTTGATAAAAAATTACCTACAAAGCCCTCAAGCTTATTAGTACTGAGCAAGACATGGTGAAGATCTGATATGCAGGAAAGCTTTGCTTATTTTGGCCATTTAGTCTGTGAAAAGCTTAGAGTGCATAATTGTCAAACTGGCAGGGTAGATCTTGAAAGTACCAAATCAATTAAGGAACAGTGTAAACATCATTTAACTAAAAGACTTTGATAATCACTATATGGATAAGCAGCTTTTTTGCAGATTTTGATACTCTTGA